ACCGGAGAAAAAAAAAAAAAAAAAAAAAAAGAATTCCATCCTTCTCTCATAGTCGTCTGTGCTGTGAATGCCCTTGCGCACCACGTGCTTCACAAGGACCTCAGGGACATTGTTGGCAACTTCCGAGGTTTCTACAGGCAGCTCACCAGCGACGGGCAGCTCCGATGGGTAAGGGCACATTTTATAAGGAGCCTTTATACGTGGTGTTCTAAGGTCTGAGGTGTCTTGTGTGAATATAGAGATGGGTTTGTGATTTTAAAGTAAAACATTTCGTTCAGATAAATTGGGGGTGGAGCCCCTCGATGACTGGTAGTTTTGAGGTCATCAGTTCCTTTCAGCAGGGTCTGACTCTGGACATGTTTGGATCTGAGAGCTTTCAGCGCCTGTGTGCCTCCCTGCCCTCTCCCTGGACTGGGAAAAGGTGCCTGAGAATAAAGGGCTGAAGGGAAGCCTTTCGGGGAAGGGAGTGTGAGTAGCATTGCTGTCGCGGGAGGAGGGCAGTGAGGAGAAAGGCCTAAGAGCAAAGTTACACAGCGAGGACCGTGGAGCCTTTCCGGTGTGGGCTGGTATGTGAGCCCTAAGGGCAGAGCGTGCCAAAGTGAGGTCCGGACCCTGTCCTCGTCTGCTGAGGCCGAGTTCATCCTTTCCTCACTGCTCCGTGTCCTGGCTGAGCACAGAGACGGGCACAGAGGAATGCACTTTCCCTTGGATTTTAGTTCTGACTTCCTCGCACAAGTTCAGCGTTCCCAGAAAGAAGCTCCCTCTGGCCAAACCCAGGACAGCTGAATCATCAGGATAAATATGATAGCAGTGGCTTGTCACATAGCACACTGGACGAACTAAGACCGTGAGTCCGTATAGATCGTAGCAAGGGAAAGCTCACCGTTACGGTAGAATACCAAGTAATGAATATAAAATGAACGCTGGTGTGGGAAAGTCACCGTCACGCAGCCGTCGTAGCTGTATCAAGTGGACATGAGTCATCAGTGGATGCTAGACTCTGAGGGTGGTGGTTGTCACTTATGTAGAAAAGGAAAATGATACCTTCACAGTGGAGAAGCCGAATGGACACTAATTTACAAAAACATTGCAATTTAATAATGCTAAAATAAAATTTAAAAAATCCTCATTTACACAGTATTTATGCCAGAAAGTATATAACCTGAGGCTAATCATGAAGGAACTCCAGAGCAGCCCGTGGAGGGATGCTAGGCAAGTGACCTGGCCTGTACTCTTTAAAAATGTCAGTATCATTAGAAAAGAAGGAAAGGTGTTCAGATTAAAAGAGACTACGGAGACATGATGACTAAGTGCAATGTGTTTTGTGGATTGGATAGGACCTCAGGATACAGTTCTGTGTGCGTCAGCTTCCCCATGGCCGAGCCAGACAGGCCGGACCCTCAGCCTCAAGGGAGAATGGTCCTTTGGCTCACGGTTGCAGAGGGTTCGGTCCAGAGTCGGTCAGCTCCAAGGCAGGAGCATCATGGTGGAAGGGTGGGGTGGAGCAAAGCCGCTTCATTCATGGCAGCTGGGAAGCAGAGCACAGGAGCAGCATGAGAGGGGCACGGCACCAGGCACCACATACCGTGCCCAAGGGCACACCTCCGCGACTCAGCTGACATACACAAAAGTGTGCTTCCCTGTTGCCCCAGCTGGCCTCCAAGCCTATCACGTGGACCATTAAACTTAACCATAACAAGTACGTTTTTGGGAATGGCAATATTTGATTATGGACCATGTCTTAGATAATAATGTTCCATCAATATTATATCCTCTGAATAGGATCAGGGTACTGTGGTTACGTAGAGAATGTCCTTGTTTTTAGCAACTACACACAGAAGTATTTATGGGCAAAAGAGGGATGCCATCTGTGATTTTGCTCTCATATGATTCAGAAATAAAGACAGGATGGCAGCAGGAAGCAGGGAACAAGTTTGGGTTTTGGGTTTTTTTTTTTTTCTATTTTTGCAACTTTTCTACAGGTTAGAAACTTTTAAAAAATTGACCTTTAGGTGTATTGCCATTGCTGCCTTTCAATTCCTGAAGTGTCTCCCCAGCTAGCAGACCTCAGTGTCCTTTTCATGTCTACGAATGCTGCTGCTCTTTGCTTCCCACCAGATTGGTCCAGAGAAAGGTGCGGTGCACCTGGCCACAGCGGCGATTCTGAATGCGGTGTGGGACCTGTGGGCGAAGCAGGAGGGAAAGGTAACTCGTCTGGAACCCTGCCTGTGGCTCCAAGCCGCCTGCTGCTGACACAGGACTGTCTGCAACCAACGCTCTGAAGACCAAGGACGAATGCGGCGCAGCTCCCTGAAAGGAAATATGTGGAGGCGTGATTCTTTTCTCTCCTGAGAGATCTCGGTGCTGCTTAGGAAGTTCCAGGAGTGGGTTAGGAAGGGATGAAAGGGAAAAGGGTGGACCCAGAAGTGAAGGGTCAGGAGGCACACGCGGTGGGTCTGACAGCAAGAGTTTACCACTGACGAATCCACTAGCAGAACAAAAGTGGGTGCTTTATGCGTATGTTCTACAAATTCTTTTTTCTTTTTTCACTCCAGCCTCTGTGGAAGCTACTTGTGGACATGGTAAGTGGATCCTTTTGTATTACTACTGCTTCTTTTTTTTTTTTTTTACTTTTTGAGATAGAGTTTCACTGTGCAGTTCAGGCTGGCCTTGAACTCACTATATAGCCCAGGCTGGTCTCAAACCCATGGCAATCCTCCTGCCTCAGCCTCCTAAGTGCTGGGATTATCAGCATGCACCTCAATGCTTCACTTACAGCTGCTTCTAATGAGATGGGTTTCCTGGATTATTTGCCTTTAGATAATCAGTAAATCTATCCAAGACTGTGTGTTGACAAAGCAAACCCCAGCAAACTACAGCAGTCCCTTGGTGTGATGTGCAGTGACAGCTACGCTGAGGTGTGGCAGCGGGTGAGCTCAGGTCCCGCAGCAGACTCGAGATGCAAATTCTCACCCTCCACCGCCTGACGATGCAAGGAGGATCGTCACAACCCCTGGGAACCACACAGAATTAAAGACCCAATGGAAAAAGGACTTCCTAAACCCAGAAAAGCAAGATGTTACTCCTAAAACATCATCTGGTCACTGTGATGTCAAAGCAAGGCCAGATGGGTCCTGGTGTCCCCACTGTGCGGCTCCGGTGGGGCAGGAACGTCACACTGAGTTCCAAAGACGTGTACTCGGCTCTTTTCTTTCTCTCTGGCCTGTTTATAGCAGGGACCAGCACTTTGCTGCGGAGCAGGAAAACCACTCGGGCTGAGTTAAAAGGGAGCAGAGTTCAGAGCCAGGCAGATTTGGCTTTGACTCTGGACTTCACAGCTCGCAACCCGCCGAGCGGCCTTGGGCTCGTTACAACGCCCTGTGAGCCGCTGCGGCCCGGCGTGACGCCTGCTGTCCGCTCCCAGCGGCCCTGCTGCTATATGGCGCCAAATGAAGGAAAACCCACACAGGCAAGAAAGGCCTTGAGGACGTTGAGAGCGGGGCCTTGCTCCTCCTCAGGGACAGGGAAGACAGGCGCCAGTCACATCTGCTCCAAGACAGCAGAGGATGTCTTAGAGTAGGGATAGGGATGGCCCAGGGTCCCCTGGTGGCCTGGCTTTGAGAGCCACCTCCTGCGCTCTGTACTGAGCTGCCCCAGGATCACCCCCAGCCCCTCAGGGGTCACTGAAGGTCACCTGGGGGCAGAGCAGATGTGGAGAGGGAACCCAGGCGTCTGTTTGCTTGCCTGGTCCCGAGTATTTGCGCTGCCAGGTTCCCCGGCCCAGAGGCTGTGTTGGTCAGAAAGAACACGGCAGGAGACAGAAAGAACTTAGAGATTGTCAGGGGCAGCAGTGAGCCTCAGACGGACTCCATGCCAAGGAATGACAGGCCCGGACGATTTCCCTCAAGTCCCGAAAGCCCACATGATCGCTGTGGATCAGCGTGAGCAGCTTCTTAGACCCATAATCTGCCTGCGTATTGACCTGAGCCTTTCCCCTCCTACCCCGCTGCCAGGACCCCAGGACACTGGTGTCCTGCATCGACTTCCGGTACATCACAGACGCCCTGACCGAGGAGGATGCCCTGGGTGAGGCGTGCTGGGCGTGGGACTGGGGTCTCGGGCAGTGAGGCACGCCCGGCAGCCATTGGCTCTGCTGGGTTAAGGAGTGATGACGGTTTTTGTTTTTGTTTTTCAGAAATACTGCAAAAAGGTCAAATTGATAAAAAAGAAAGAGGTGGGTTGGGAGGAAATTTCCCTCCACTTTTGTCGTCCACTTCTGAGTGCCCCTGTGCCTAGAGGTACAAGCTGTCCTTCTAGGTGCCTGGCACTGAGCAGCTGCACTCTCAGCCAGATGTGTGGGTCTTGGCGAAGAAGCCACCTGGGGACCTGGGCTGCACGGTCATTTCAGCCGCTGCCTCCAGGAAGCTGGGCCCTAGGGTTGCACTGGGGGGCCCTCAGAGGATATCCTGGTCACCGTGACACCCCAGGGGGTGGGGCCAGTGCTGTGTGGGTGTGAGAGGCACCCAGCAGAACACCCGGAGTGTCTGTCGGCAGCAGCTTTTCCCAAGTTCCTGGAATGCACAGAATGTTGAGTGTTGCTGGACTTGGTGGTGCACACCTATAACCCTAGTACCCAGGAGGCTGAGGCAGGAGGATCACCTCAAGTTGGACGCCAGCCCAGGCTACATAATGAGTTCAAGGCTGGCCTGACCTAAATGGCAACTCTGTCTCAAACTGCACCACCACTATCACCACCACCCCCACCCCCACAAGAAAGTCAAGTCTTGTATTTTCCAGAAGAGCAAATGCTGACACATGGTTACCCCGCCTACACCACGTCGTGCGCCTGGCTCGGGTACCCGGATGACTTGCTGAAGCAGGTGAGCTGTGCACCTGGGTCTACAGACAGGCTGGGGGAGGGACAGCAAACTGATTTTCCTCCCCTGCTCACACTGCTGTAGTCATAGGTCACTCGTGACACAGATGTATGGGTTCCCTCAAAAGGCTCTGGCGACACCAGCAGGCCTCCTGCAGTGTCACTCAGGGCTGAGCAGGGTCTGCCTGGAGTGGGCATCAGACCGTAGCGTAAGGACTCACCTCACAGGACGGCCCCACTTCGGATGCCAGTCGTGTATGGCCAAGTTGTCGCTTGAGTTTCTGAGCCGCTGGCTAGAAATGGCCCCCACCCATACTCCCTTGCGCCTGGTCCTTCGCCGGAGCAGCTCACAGAACTCAGGGAAACATTTGCCTGCGATACTGGGTACTGTCAAGGCTAAAACTCAGGCGACAGGAGCCTCCGTCCCTTCTCTGGCACCCGGTACCCCGACACGTTCACCAGCCCTGGAGCTCTCCGGACCCAGTCTTTGTGGGATTTCATGGGGCATCTTTAAGTAGGGAGGTGGATGACATCATTAACCAGTAAGAATCAACCTTCAGTTCTTCTCTGCTCTCTAGAAGGCGCGTGGCAGTCAGCACCGCTCGTTTATTACTCTTTCTCATCGTCTTTATGTAGAGTTGAGAGAGAGAAAGAGGCAGAGATGGAGTCACAGAGACTGGCTGCTGCCTGCTACTCTCACATCCACCAGTTCTCTGGGTGCCTCAGAAAATGCTAACTTTAAAACCAGGGACACAGCCGGGCATGGTGGCACATGCCTGTAATCCCAGCACTTGGGAGGCTGAGGCAGGAGGCTCACTGCGAGCCTGCACTACATAGTGAGACCCCTCCAAACAAAACAAAATGCAGGAGCACTCATGCTACCCCTCCCAGGCACGCTGTGACAGTGAAAGGAATGGTTCTCTTAGAGCTGATGAAGAAGCCTCCCTGCAAGTGGAAAGAGCGATGCTCTGTTGGCCAGGCTGTTTCTCCCTTGATTTCAGCAACATGGTGGTTTCTCTGGTGCGTGCGCGATGACCATAACGTTTGTGGAACCCGCCAGACACGAACGAGGTCCCATCCCGCGGGGGCGCGGTGTGTTATGTACGCCGCGCATGCACTGACAGATGCACCCTTTCCCCACAGCTCTGCGCGGCGGCCCTGAAGGACGGCTGGACTAGGTAAGTTCTGTGTGATGGCTCCGCCTTTCCACTTTGCCGCGTGAGGGGGGCAGCCAGGAGTTAAGCGGCATCAGAAAGGCCGGACACAGTCTGGCCCATCAGTTTAAAGAGGTGTGTGATTAAAAAAATACGGTGAATGCTGCTGCCCAGTGCCGTCCAGCAGAAAGGCAGGCTGCTAAGAACGTGATTTTATATTGGCCGCCGTATCACCTCCGGCCCTTCCCCAAAGTCAAATAACCATGAAAGGGAGATGTTTTGAATTGGTTCAAGACATCGAGGCAGCTGGGACAGCACAACTAAAGACACTGCTGAAAGGGCACTTCTAGAACTGTTGCAGAAAATGGCAAGAACAATGGGCTAAGTGTGTTCAAGGCAACTGGGAGTATTCTGAGGATTCGGAGCAATGTGTCTTTTACTGTAACGAATTTTTAATGTAAGTATTCATCATGTTTTTGATCACACCACGTATGTGATTGACACTGAGTGCACGGCCACGTGAAAGTGTCCACATCAGGCCAGTGACGCTCTGCTGAGGGCAGAGTCGCAGGGAGCCTGTATGGTGGCCACATCTCAGAGCACGGCTGGACAGGAAGCCAGTTTGGGCAGCTCCCTGCCCAGCCCACGTGGTTGTCCAGGCTGGACTTGAATTTGTAACCTTCCTACTTTATCCTCCCAGCGTGATGGGACTATGGGTGTGCACCACCACACTCCGATTTCCTTTTTTGAAAATATTTTACACTTAGTAAGAACCACTTCACAAAAATACAGGCCCCCTTAGCAGGGGCCTCACTGCCCTCTGCTCTCCTTGCTATGCCACCAGGTCGGTCCTGCTCCCGGCCTTGGCCCCTTCACCCAGAAGACAGAGTACCCTGGGGCCTTCCTCCCTCTGGGCTCACTTAACACAGGCCCCCTGCACCCAGGGTATAAAACAGATGGCGTGTAAGTAAGTCTCTTTTCACACAGGGTGCAACAGAGCTCAGCGTCCCTGTCAGCACCACAGTCCTCCTTCGGCCTCTTTGTTGCTAAGTCCTTGAGATAGCAAAGGCCCCCGTCCTTGTGTGAAGAGCTCACCTCTGCCTGGCTCCGCACCTGCAGGCCGCAGTGACTGAGAGCCATTGTCCCGATAGAGCAGAGCTGCAGTCAGCAGGTTGTGGTCAGGCACTTGGCTAACACTGGGCAAGAGCCAGAGGTCACCAGAAAGCGTGGTCTGTGAAATATTGACAGAGACAGTCGTTTCTGCTAGTTCCGAGGACAGAGGTGAACCGGCTGAGCAAATGTGCTTCTAGGTTCAAAGTGAAAGTTGGCGCTGACCTCCAGGATGACGTGCGCAGATGCCGCCTCATCAGAGACATGATCGGACCCGAGAAGACTTTGGTAAGTATCTTCTCTCACCACTGAGAAAGACCTGGCAGGGAATCTGTCCAGGCCCAAAACACAACTCATTTCAGGCAAGATCTTAAAAACCTGGGGAGTTTTGAGAATTTTTGTCCAATGAAGTATGGCTCTGTGGTCTTGCAGTAGGAGAATGTAAAATAAAACAAGACACGTCTAATACTTTTCAGTTTTTTAATTCTGCAGAACTAGTTAAATGAGATCAGGGTGAGAGCTGAGTCCTTCTTGCTCATGCAGATGAACCTAAGCAAACAGGCCTCCCATTGGCGCCCTTGCATGTCAATCATTAGTCTCTGTAGGTTGTTCTTCAGGTGGGTGGGTTTCAAGAAGACACCATTGAAGAAGTATTGAAACGTTGGCTGAGACAAATGTAAGGATGAGCTGTTCCTGACCGCGGCCCTGTATTTTTGTGAAGTGGTTCTTACTAAGTGTAAAATATTTTCAAAAAAGGAAATTGGAGTGTGGTGGTGCACACCCATAGTCCCATCACGCTGGGAGGATAAAGTAGGAAGATTACAAATTCAAGTCCAGCCTGGACAACTTAGCCACTTAGCAAGACTCTGTTTCAAAATTTATTTTATTTTATTTTATTTTGTCTTTTTGAGACAGGGTCTTGCTGTATAATTCAGGCTGACCATGAGCTCACTTTGTAGCCCAGGCTGGCCTTGAACTTGCAGCAATCTTCCTGCCTCAGCCTCCCAAGTGCTGGGATTACAGGCATGCACCACCATGCCTGGCCTGTCTCAAAATTTAAAAAGAAAAAAATTAAAGTGGGCTGAAGATATAGCTCTATACCAAGGGCCCAGTTTCAATCTCCAGTACTGAAAAACAAAAAGTTAGAATCAGATGTATTATGAAGCTTTAGAAGCTCCTTCATAAATTAAAATTCCAGTCTGGAGTCTTGACACAGGTCCAAAGTCCCATTATTTATACATGGGTTAATGCTGCTTTTGTTCCATGAGGTCATTCTTTTCCGAATAATTGATAAAGCTTGGTCCTGAGTATCCTACCCTGGGGTTCTCCGAGTCCTGGCACGGAGCTCTTACCACTTAGCACTTTTCATAGCTACTCCTTTCCTCACCTGCCCTCTCAGGCATCCTGAGACCGATGCAGAGGGAGTGGGAGGCCCCCGCTCAGGCTCCACACACCCAGTGCCTGGCTCTCGGGCCAGGCGGCGGCAGGTGGAGAGCCAGGGCTTGGGGCTCAGGATCTGGGCTCAGACTCTCCACTGGCCTGACTTAGTCCTGAGCAAGTTACTTCTCTGTGCGTCTCTTAGCTGTGAAATGCACTAACATGGCCTTCCTCTTGGAGTTCTTCTAAGCATTAAATGGAACAAAACCCATCCGGTGCCTAGGGGAGCAGGGGCTGCATTAATGGTAGCTGTTTATTCATGTGCCAGCCTCACGGGGAGCCAGACCCAGCGTTGACTGTGTGTGACTCAGTATGTGATAAAATGGTCCCAACAAACAGCTAATGCTGCAGGACACGTGTACCTGGGGAGCTGCTTTCGTCAGGGCTGTGGGCTGGGCGTCAGGAGTTGGCCTCGGGCCACCCTCATGGGGAAGAGGCTCTCCCTGCAGATGTTGGATGCCAACCAGCGCTGGGATGTGCCCGAGGCGGTGGAGTGGATGTCAAAGCTGGCCGAGTTCAAGCCGCTGTGGATTGAGGAGCCCACGTCCCCTGATGACATCCTGGGGCACGCTGCCATTTCCAAGGTAGGAAGGCCTAGCATTTCTTCACCTGCTCCCTTCACATTTCCTGATGATGCAGCCGAGTCTGTGATGTGTGACCGGTTAGGGGCTGCAGACCTGACGTCCTTTGTCCACCGCACGTCCACCTGTTGTAGGCGAAGAGTCACCGCAAGTTGCAAGGTGACTAGACACTAACTGACATGGTTCCCGGGCTTTTAAGTGTGGAAATGTGACTGATACTTGAACGTGGAGGGTCTCTGACTTACGATGTTTCGGTGTAGACTTTTTCTACTTTATGATGGTACCAAGGTGATACGCATTTGTAGAAAGCATGCTTCATGTCTTGAATTGGCTTTTTCTTGGGCTAGTAATATGCAGAACAATACTCTCGTGATGCTGGACAGCCGCAGCTCCCAGTCAGCAACAAGATCTCCAGGCAACAACTGAGACCTAGCCTTGCAGGGTGCTGTGCGGCTCACCTGCGATGCTTGGTAGATGAGGTGTGAAATGCATTTTCTACTTACGACCTTGTCCACCTGGGGGCTTATCGGGACATAACTCCGTTGTAAATTGAGGTGCAGCTCTACTTACTTACCCGGAATGAATCAAAAGTGTAGATTCCTCTGGATGACTCCAAAGAAGGTTGGCTTAGCCACAGGCAGAGCCAGGCTTTGCAGAGATAAAGCTTGGGACAAGCCCTGGGACAAATTCACACTAACTGGAGTTGGCCTCCCTCCCTTTTGGGCAGCAGGAGAACCTGCCGTGTCAGAACATCGCACTAGGAGGGGAGGCCCCCACTGCCTAGGCTCAGAGCCCTGACCTACAAAGCCGTGATGTCGGCCGGCTAATCTGTAATTTGTGCAAGAGCGTAATCGCTAGGGTTTTGACGCTCAGCCCAGAGCAAGCCATGTTAGCCAAAGGCGGCAGGATGAGTGTACAGTCAGGGCAGGGGCAGGTTATGGAACTGAAGGATGGCCCAGCGAGGCCACCCCCGAGTTCAGATCCACCTGCTTATGCCCGCAGAGACGTCGTCGTAAGCCTCGTCGCTCCGTAGGCACAGGTCCAGCCAGGTCACTGCTGCCGCTCCTTCTGTGGCTGTGAACCTTTTCCCTGTTCTGCTCCAGCTCTCTCAGCAAATTAGCAGAGGACTGACCATAGGTCAGACGAAAGGTGGCCTCGTGGCCTCAGGGTGGCGACCTGAGCTGACTAAGGAAAACCATGCTGCAGGTGAGGGAACGTGGGCAGGAGCCATGGGACAACCACAACTGCCTTTACTGAAATAGAAGCTGGGGTCGGGGGTGGCACAGGCTGGTTTTCCTAGTATCTAGGAGGCTGAGGCAGGAGGATCACCTCAAGTTTGAGGCCAGCCAGGACTACATAGTGAGTTTAAGGCCACTCTGAACTATATAGTGAAATCCTGTCTCAAAATAACCAAAAAAAAAAAAAAAAAAAAAGCAAAAGAGAGAGAAACCAAAGCCAAACCTCTAAGGAATCACTGCAAAGTGGGCAAGGTCATAGGTCAAGACTCCTCCCCTGGGCCTGCTCACCCTCGCTCCTTAGGGCTCCTGGGGTAACGGCACCCCACGGAAGCCCTCTCCAGACACCGAGCCAACCTCTGCCACTTGGAGAGTCACCTTGGTTTCGCTTGCACGGGGGAGGCGCTGAGGGACAGATGAGCCACAGCGGACACAGCTACAGGGACCGCGGGTCTCTGCGGGCGGTGGGGACGGGTGGGGCAGGGCACACGAAGGGGTGCCACCGGGCTCACAGGGTGCTGCCCCCAGAGGCGGCCGCTGCAGGTCTCTGGATGAGAGGACGGTGGTGATGCTGTTGAGCAGTCATTGAAACGGGCCGAGGTGAAGAGCGGGCAGGGGAACTGAGGCGGGGCTGGGGCTGGGAGGCTGTGGCTGTGCCCTGGGGAGCGGAAGGTCAAGGGGGAAACGGTACCCGGTCAGTGCCAGAAACAGCGCCTTAATAAAATAGCCCTTACTCCCCGGCCTGCTCCGTGTCTCTCCTTTTTGTCTTTTGAGACCAACAGCCAAGTGTCCTTAACTTAGAAATTTCAGGAAGCATAGCATATGCTTTCTGCAGTCAGGAGAGCCAGGCCCGGGGTGGCTGTGCGTGCCACGTCCACAGCCACACATCCCGCCAGAGGCAGGACACAGATCTGAGTCGGCCCCCCGGCCCTCAGTTATTTCATTGAGAGGTCGGTGTAAGCCAGTGACCCGGAAGTCTCCGGCTCTGGCACGGGCCTGGAGGACAAATCCTGGCCGCACACTCTCCGGCTTTGTGACTGAGTGGGGAGGTGTTCTTACTGTTCCGCCGGCTGTAAAATGGAGGTGCTGACGGCTCCTCTCCTGCCAGGCTGTGACCGGGAATCACACACATGCGTGTTTTGCGCAGCGCCTGACAGGCATCGAGGGCTACAAGTGTGTCCCTGGGAGACGGAAGGAAAACCAAGCAGGCAGCAAAGAAGCCTGGGGCGGGCCATGTGGGGTCACGGCCAGTGCAGCCCAGGCGGCAGGCGAAGGACGCGGCTTTCCAGGGCCAGGCAAGAGCACCAAGTCCAGGTGAAGGTTCCAGAACCTCACCGGATCTGTTGCCCAGAGAGTGGCAAGGGAGCGGGTTTTGGAAGTGACAGAGGCATGAGAAGGTTCTAGAATAATCGATGAGGGGGTCATCAGGGACACGGGAACACGGAGCAGTAAGCGGAGGTTGATCACGCGTCCTTGACGAGCCACCAAGCAGCCCACTGTGCCCTGCGCAGGTGCCCGAGCAGGCGGGTCAGGTCACTGCGCGAGGAAGCGGAGGCAGCGCTGGGTGCAGCCGCTGGCAGCGTATGCAAGCACGGGCCTCGCCCTCGGTGACACGGAGCGCCCATCCTCTCCCGGGCATCCTTCTGCCTGCCTCTGATTGTCACACGGCTCAGCAGCAGACTTTCCTTCTGCAGCTATAAACATTTTTAAACACGAGGAGCCGTAGTTCAGAACCGAGGAAAATAACAGCAGGCTGCCTTCTCTCCTAGGCCCTGGCCCCCTTAGGAATTGGCGTGGCCACAGGAGAACAGGTGAGTGACGCGTCCTTGGTACCGCTACACGCCAACCACTGACGGACACAGTTGCGCACGAGGCTCTGTCACCCGATACGTTTTGAGCTAGGAAGGTTTTACCAGCTTAGAACTCGGCAGTCCATTAGTGTGAAGTCAGAGTCCAAAATTGATGGCTTTTTCTAACATTTATATAGCTCAGGTGGTTTTTTCAAAAACATCTACTCAAAATCCACAAGGCAGCAATTTAAAGGTACCGCCAGGGTGCACGATAGGGTAAGAAAGCAGCTTCTAAACTGGGTCAACGGGATGGCGTTTACTCCCTGTGCTCGTAAACGCAGCACCAGCACCTGCCAAGCCCCGCGCCGTCGGCCCACCAGCCGAGCAGAGCAGCCCGAGAACAGATTCTGTTTTCCCAGCGAGAGGAACAATGCACTCTGCCGCCCTTCTGTTTTGTCAACGCGCCACCTGCTCCTCGCCTTCCCCTCATTTTATCTCGATGCTCTGCCTCCCCTCCCACTCCCCGGGGCGGATGACAGTTACTCCTTAACGCGTGGTGAGCTGGTGTGATCTGTCCCTGACTCACACTGTCGCATCTGCAGATCTGTAAGGAAGTGACTGCGCCCCCCCGCCCCCGCCTCACTGTCAGGGGCTCCTCTGTCCTCTGCTCAGTGAGAACAAAGGAGAAATACGGCCTGCGTTCCCCAAGGCCCCCGAGGAGTAACAGTGGGCGTGGAATTGCTGCAGTGCCAGGCTCAGGGATCCTGAAGGCCAGCGCTGACTCTTCTGTTGGTGTCGTTTTCAATTCTATTTCCAGTGTCACAACAGAGTGATATTCAAGCAACTCCTCCAGGCGAACGCCCTGCAGTTTCTCCAGATTGACAGCTGCAGACTGGGAAGCGTCAATGAGAACCTCTCAGTGTTACTGATGGCTAAAAAATTTGGAAGTAAGGGCCTGGACGGCCTCCTCCGCATCCCCTCCCATTAGATGCCTGGGTCCCCCACTTCCTTGGTCTTGGCCACTCACTCCAGTCTGTAGCCTGCTGTATTGATTTTCTCTCTCATTCTGCTGTCAGCAGGGAGTCTAATGATTTTCATGGTGGGATTCTGTTCCTAAATATTCACGATTTAATCACCTGTGGGCACTAACCATAGGGCTGTCTCCCCCACCTCTTCCTGCACTACTGTTGGCATCCAGGAGCAATGTCTTCCTTCTAGTTCCTGTGTGCCCCCACGCCGGCGGAGTTGGCCTCTGTGAGCTGGTGCAGCACTTGATTATATTTGACTACATATCAGTCTCTGCGAGCCTGCAGAACAGGTCAGTGCGCGTTAACTACTCCCTGCTTCGGCCGCACCCCTCAGCCCGGGCCAGCTCTCCACACGACCTTTCACCAGCAGAGGCCCGGAACACTGAGCACCGCTGCAAGGGCCCACGAGGCTCTGAGAGCCAGCTGCATGTTGAACGGCATGGTGGCGCCCGCTTCCTGTTGTACAGACATGTTGCTTTGCCTTGACTCCTCCCCACAGGCAGGAAGAATGGGCCTCCGAGCATCACCGTGCCTTCCAGAAGGCCGAGGTCTGGGGAGCTGACTCCATTGCCCAGTGCATTGGGGGTGGATTCAACTCCAGACTTCCTTGACTTGCTTTGTTTTGTGCCTTCCTGAAGTCCTGGTTTCTCACATGTACATTCTCCATTGCGTCTCCTCTTCCCGATGCCAGTCTTCCATCTCTTGACACATCTTCATTTAGTTCCATCTTCTCAGCATCCCCAGGACATTTACACTGGGACAGTCTTCTTCCCTGTCCTCTGCATGTATGGCTTTGCTTATTATGCTTGCTTTCTTCATTTCGTTCTGTTTTTGGAGACAGGGTCTCACTATGTAGTTCAGGCTGGCCTTGAACTCACTATGTAACCCAGGCTGGTCTCGAACTCGCAGTGACCCTCCTGCCTCAGCTGGGATTACGGGTCTGTGCCACCACACCCGGTTTACTATGCCTTCTTGTCTCCTGGAATTAAAATACTGCAGAAAGCTCTCAGGAAGAGCCGGACAAGCACAGAAAAGGCAGATACCAGATTCAAGCCCAAGAGACGGCTCTGTCAGGTGCCCAGAGGATTGGTTGTATGGCTCTTCCCTAGCTGGTAGTGAGGAGACCTGTGCTGCCTTTTACTCTGCCCGATGTTATAATAGTGCAAGTCAGGTTGGGAGGAAAGAAACGTGGGTGGCCTCAGACAGGTCTCAGGGGAGATGTGCCTGTGTACACATCTGGAAGATCAAGGTTGGGACTAGATCAGCCGTAGGTCATCCTGCTCTTGCCCGCAGTTCCTGCCTTCAGGATTGGCAATTCTGACTGCGAAAAGCCCTGCAGGCTTTTGAGGGTGGGAAAGAGGGTCACGCCGCCTGCAGTGCGGTGCAACACCCCAGCGCTAGTGCCTCAGCGGGGCTCGCTGCTCCCGAAGGCCTCCCTGCAGTAAAGCAGCCACCCGACACTAACCCTGAGTGTCACACATCGGCCCCCTGCTTTGTCACCTTCTGCGCAGGACATATTTTATGCGTTCTTTAAAGGCCCCGCTGTCCTCCCCGCTGTGGCTGCGTCTTCTGCTCCGTCCTCCAGGCGACAGCGCAGCCCGAAGCTCACAGCCTGTGCCCACAAAGAGCGCCGTTCACTCATCAGCTTCTGTGTGACCCCAGCACCGGGCGGCCCACAGCCGGCCCGTCATCTGCTCTCCCTCTGGCCAGGCACCGGCCTACCCAACATGCCTGGGGTCTGACCTGAGGCCTCTCGGGGGGTCACAAGGCCTGGAGTTGCAAGGGGCCGCATGGTTCCTTCACCTCAGCCCCACTGCTCCTCAGACGAACGGCCCCCGAGGCGGAGGTCGAGGGCTTCTCATGGAGACGCGTGGAATCACCGTGCTCCCCTTACCTGACTTCGGGTGCAGCCGCTTCACTCCGTTCCTTCCCCCCAGGATGTGTGAATACGTGGACCACCTCCACGAGCACTTCAGGTATCCTGTGCACATCAAGCAGGCTTCCTACATGCCTCCGGAGGTGAGCCAGGCCCGGGCCTTCACACACGCCTGCCCTTCACGTAATCAGGAACGTGTGCTCTCCCTGGCTTTCCTCCGGGTGGTAATGAGCATGCTCAATTTATTACTTTTGCTAGGATGCAGGCTACTCGGCAGAAATGAAGGAGGGTTCTGTAAAGAAATACCAGTATCCGGATGGCGAAGTCTGGAAGAAACTCCTTGCTGCTCAAGAGAACTAAGCATTCGGCCCCACTACCTCTTCTCAACTAGTACTACCTACTACCTTTTCTTCTTTAACATTTCTTGACTAGTTTTATAAAAATACAAGAAAAGAAATCTTGTCCTACCAATCAAGTTCCGCAGAAAGTCCTATTAACCTCAGGAATCAGCTTCATCATTGATTCTTTTAACAAATCAATACATAATCTATTTAACCCCTCAACAAACTTAAGACTCAACTAGTCCAGAGCCCAGGAAGATGTTCTGACATGATTTCTACCAAGGGCTGGGACCTGGTCATTAGATTACGTGGAAAATCAGCAGCATGTTGTACAATTTGTTAGAGCAACTCCTTGTGCTGTTTAATACTTCTCATAAATTAGAATAAAAATAGTTCTGGAACACCATGGGGAGCTGGTATTTGCAACAAAGGGAAAAAAGGTACTGGTAAGCCCTGAAGTGGCTCCGCATCCCTGCTCTTAACCAGTCTAAGCCTATTGGAGAATTCACACCACACCAGAACTAATGGTACTTAGCACCCTTAAAAACTTCTACCTAAATGCTCACTGTACTTAATGATAAAATGCTGCTAGAATGAGATGAATCACGGAAAAATAAGGTGAAATAACATCCCATGAGCATTCCAATACATTGCCATTCTCCATAGCAACCAAGTAAGAACACAACATGTGTAGTTAGGAGCATTCAGGTGACTGGTCTAGGCAAGAACTGAGCAGATAAATCGCAAGAGAAGAAAAAACCTGGATAAATGCAAACTAATCCTTTATTACAGGAATATATAAGACAAATGTAACAGCAAACGTTCGCAAGCAAACTATCCATTCTGGCTGGGATCAGGTCAGATTTGAGGGAAGACCTTCTTTATAAAATGAATGGAATTCGTCAGCTTCACTACGTACAACTGAAATGCATGCACTCGTTTTTTGCTAAGAATATGGAAACTCGCTGTTACCACTTTCTTCATAATCGTAGCATTTTTGTGCACTTTTACTACTAAAGTTAAGATCTTTTATTACTAAAAGACTAGCACCTTTGGTCTGCCAGTGACAGTATCTTCCAAAGTTAACAAATGACAACTGATAGGTCACTGAGTTTTGTACCTACTTCCTTTTGTCTTTAGAAACAAACACACCAAAAGAAACAAACAACCCAGACTCGGGCTCTGACCAGGGGCCCTTCCTTCCAGTAGCACGCGGAAGGCGCTCTACACAGCCATTTCCATCTTAATGGCAGGATGCGGATTGTACCCTTCTAGCTGGAAGTCTTCAGCTGTGAAGTCATCAATTCTCTCGACTTTTCGAAGGATTCTGAGCTTTGGGAAAGGTCTTGGTTCTCGCTGAAGCTGAAAACAAAACCAACCATTATTCTGCCATGTTAGTGTAACCTGCTTTAACTCTGTTCCCTGCACCCCTGCATGAAGCAGGCAGGGTATTTTATGTAGTACCTTGTCCCTGGTTACCCAGTATTGAGGGGGCATGGGGGAGCGTGACCGCCTTGTCTTCTGCACTAGGAGTAACCGGTATTTGTGACATCATACGGCATTAGGAGGCTGCTGGCTCATCAGGCCTCAGTTCTTTTTGAGACAGGGTCTTGCTATACAGTTCCGCTGGCCTCAAACTTGCAGCAATCCTCCTGCCTCAGCCTCCAGACTGCTAAGATTATAGGTGTGGGCCACTATGCCGAGCTTTTTTGAGACTTCTTGCTCTGTAGTCCATACCCACCTTGAACTCACAATGCTCCTGCTTCAGCCTCCCAAATGTTGGGATTACAGGTATGGATCACTACACCTGGCTCGGGCTTGGATTTTTATACAGTAAGTCCTCGCAAATTTATTAAAGGCTGGGATATAGTCCTTTTTTCCTTTTCTGTTTGTAACTCCGCAGCCTTACAGTCTGGCTTCCTAAATTTCATAATCCCCAGCCCAACTGTCCCTGGCAGAAAGGCAAACAGAGGGCGGCCACTGTGAACAACTCCCAGCAAGGGACGCGAGCCAGTATTTGTGGGGTGAGCACAGAGGACCGGCGCGGACGCGGACGCGGGGCGGCGCCTCACGTCGTGGTGGGCAGCAGGACAGTAGGAGCAGGCAGGGCAGCCGCTGTCTGCCGAGAGGCCGAGCTCTCACGAGGCACCGCGCCACGCCTACCCTGGAAGGGGCTTGTAAGCACAGCTGCTCCTATTTTCCTGCCGCTTGAAATCGTCCCGTTGTGAGAGCTTGGGCAAAGAGGCTGCTGAAGTTCCACTAGCATCAAATTAAGGGAAAACATTTGCATTTCATTTCTCCTTCAGGCAAAAATACAGGTTAAAAATGCCAACTCAGGGGAGGCCCCACACCCTCTGGCCTGAAGGGACCCTTTCTTTCTGGCACTGGTGCTTGGTACCTTGCAGCACCTGTCAGCACCTGCCTGTGGCTGCTGAAGGTGTTGGCTCTGTCCCTGCCCAGCTGCCCGCCTCCCTTCCCTGAACGGAAGCCTGCTGCTGAGATGTCATCTTCCTCTCACACGCGGAGTGACTGTGATCTAGGAGATGCTGCCCACGTCAACCTTTTCACCATCAGAAGGTACCACGCTCAAGAAAGAACAGATCTGATCCTCACCTGAGTTTTCAGCGGCTCGATGTGATTCAGGTAAACATGTGCGTCTCCCAAAGTATGCACGAAGTCACCTGGCTAAGTAAACAGCATGGGAGATGAAACGACACGTTAGTTTTAATTTTTTCTTTTTCTTTTTTTTTTTTTGACACAGGGTCTCGCTATGCAGTTCAAGCTGGCTTTGAACTCACTATGGAGCCCAGACTGGCCTCCAAACTCACTGGGATCCTCCCGCCTCTGCCTCCCAGGTTCAGGGATTACAGGTGTGTGTCATCACGCCCTGCTTTAGTTTCAGCTCCTTTAAAGCACATCATATAGTGTACGAAAACACTCCAAGACTTTTCAAAAAACAAAGAGATTTAACTGGTGTAGCTTTGTTTTTTGTTTGTTTGTTTTTTTTTCAGGCTGGCCTTGAGCTCACTTTGTAGCCCAGGCTGGCCTCGAACTTGCAACGATCCTCCTGCCTCAGCCTCCAGTGTGCTGGGATTACAGGCGTGCACCACCACGCCTGGCTAACTGGTGTAGTTTTGGAGCAAAGTTTACTAAGACTTGAGCAAGGCTCTAGGCGTGCATGGCACGGCCACCGTCTCCCACCTGCAGGCTCGTGACGTGCGCGATCATGTAGGTGAGCAGTGCGTAGCTGGCGATGTTGAAGGGCACGCCCAGGCCCATGTCCGCGGACCGCTGGTACAGCTGGCAGGACAGCTCCCCGTTCACCACGTAAAACTGGCAGAGGGCGTGGCAGGGAGGCAGCGCCATCAGGGGGAGATCTGAGGAGGCAGCAGGCAGGGATGAAAGCACAGCTGTGAGCAAGGCTAACGGGATCCAGACAGAAGCCAACCTCGAGGCAGGCAGGATACAAGAGGCGCCAGCTGTGGCAACACCTACGACCCGCATCCTGCGTCAGGTCAGACCTTCCCCACCCTGCAGCAGTGTCCCAGAACACACGGGACCTGTCGTCAGCCTTCAGCCTCGGATGTACAGGGACAGCCAAAGTGATGCCCCTCCACCCAAGCTGAAATTAAGTATTTGTGCCACCTCTGCGGCCCCAAATATAGGAAGAATTGTTTCACTCACAGAAACTGGCATCCCAGGCACACTCCTGTGTTAAAATCTCCAATACAAATGCAAATTTCCCACTCTGGGTACTTACTACCCTGGTATGGCTTGTATCATGTTGTTGCCCCAAAGGTGGGCTTTTCAGAGGTGGCTGGATCTAGAATGTGTGACACTGGGATTGATTCATGGTGCAAAGCTAGGATCAAGGGCACAAGGACTGACGGTGTGAGTGCTGCCTGCCCTGAGTAGGCTGCATAAGATGTAAGGGACAGAAAGAGCTGTGGTCATCCCTTGTTGCTTTGCTGTCTTCTGCCCGTCATGAACTGTTTCTCCTCTTCCATGCCACCCTCACCTGGAGCCGGCCCATTATGTACTAAAAATGCAAACTGTGAGCTACATAAACCTTTTCCCCTTTAACTGTGGGTGTCAGGTATTTTGTCTCAGCAACGAGAAAACTAAGACACTACCCCTGGTGGAGTTTCATCGTATAATACAGATGTTAAGAATGAGCTGGGCATGGCAGTCCATGCCTGTAATCCCAGCACTGAGGGAGACTGAGACAGGAGGATCCTGAGTTTAAGCGCAGCCTAGGCAAATTAGCAAAGATGTGGCTAAAAATAAAAAGAGATGAAGATGTGGCTCAGTGGTAGAGACCCCTTGGGTTCGATCTCTAATATCACCAAAAAGGAAGAAAAAGAATGGCAGTAATACACAGGTAGAGATGACTTGAAACTTCATCTGCCCAAATTAAAACATTGCATTTTTTTGAGATAGGATCTCACTAAATAGTCCAGGCTGGCCTCAAACTCTCAGTGATCCTCCTGCCACAGCCTCCTGACCGTTTGGATTCCAGGCATGCACCACTATGCCCGGTTTAAAATATTAATCTCATGGGTGTGTATTTTCCTAGGCAATTTAATGAGTATAAACACACAAACTGGGATCACCTGGGTTCAATCCCAGTCTAAAGGTGAAAAAGAAGCCAAGTGTGACAGACGCAGGTCACACTAAGACCTCGGGGCCAGGGCCCTCCTCTCCCTAGGCGTGGCCTGCCCGTAGTGCCCAGGCAGCCCAACTGCAGCGCTTCCCTTGTGGTAACTGTGTGGAGGGGGTGCACTCACCTTTCGGGTTCCAGGCACACATGATGATCCTTCTGTCATCGGGGTTGGTTTTGATGGTGTCGATCACTTTCTGCAGCTGGTCAACTCCTTGACCCGAGTAATCTGCAGGATTGGTGAAGAGGACATGTACACACCCAGCCACAGCGTCTCGTGACAAGGTCTCATGGCCACTCGGTGTCCTTTCCTTTCCCTTGCAATTTGCTATGAATGTGTAATTATTCCAAAATATCAAATTTTTTCCCCAATGCTAGGGATGGAACCCAGGGCCTTGCACATGCTAGGCAAGTGCTTTACCGCTAAGTCTCCAGACATTTAAAAACAAAGATGTCAAACTCCCTGCTAGAATCCAACAGCTAGCATTCAGACAGCTCTAAACTAAGGCCATCATTTTCCCATTAAGCAACAAGAAATTGGCAGGGGATATAGCTCAGTGGCACAGCACCTGCCTGGCAAGCACAATGTCCTGAGTTCAATTACTGGTTCAAAGAAAAAAAAAAAAGAAGGGAAGAACTGACTGCTAGTGGGATGCAAGGCATCACAGGCCAGGGGAGCAGCCACACCCTGAGGAAGAGGCCCTAGGACAGCAAGGCGGACAACCTACAGACCATTACCATTACCCGCAGAAAGCCTGGTCTACACTGCTGGGTTTTGTGGGGGTGGGGGTGAGCCCAGGGCTTTAGCACGGAGCCACATCGACAGCCCTTTCTTATTCTGAAGGGGGCTCTCACTAAGTTGTTAAGTTTCCCAGGCTGGGTCTGAACTGGTGATCCTCCTGCCTCAGCCTCCTAGAGTGCTGGGATTACAGGCATGCACCATCATGCCTGACTTACACTGCACTGTTTTTCTTGTGATAATTCAGCAGCATTAATTGCACATTCTTACGCAACCACCACACTATCCATTTCCAGAATTTTCATCACGCCAAACGAACAGTGTATACCCGCTAAACCCGAATTTCCCATTCCCCCTTCCCCTCAGCCTCGGGCTACCCCCATTCCACTTTGTGCCTCTATAAATTGGCCCACTCCTGGTCTACATCGCATTTTAAAATCTTCTTGATCCTGGGAAGCTGAGGCAAGAGGATGACAAGTTCTAGTCCAGCCTGGGCATCTTAGCAAGACCCTGTGTCAAAATAAAAAATAACGAAGAATGGTTGGGGTGTGAGGCTCTAGCTTCAATCCCTAGTATTGGGGGTGGGAGGAGTTAATGTTGGCAACATTAAAAAAATCTCATGGCTGCACATCAGTGCGATTTCAGGCTTTTACTAAAGGGATCCAGGCAGCTTCAGCCCAGCCCCTCCCGTGCAGCAGGGTGCGCTGTGACGCCGTCCCCTTTACAGGAGACACACTGTCAGGGTGCTGGTCCTGCCCAGCCAGTCAGCGGTCACTTCCTACACACACAGGCATCTGCTTCCGGATGGTGAGAGGAGCCAGAGGCTGGGGCTGGGCTCGGTGACTCAGTGGCGCCACCAACAGCATGAAGGGTGGACGTCCTGCAGGCAGAGGGGACCATCAGCACTCTGGTGCCACCCACACTACGCTAGTGGTCCAGCCCTGGTTGTTTCGTTTTGTTTTGTTGAGACAGTGTTGCTATGTATTCAGGCTGACCCCTGAACTATGTAGCCCAGGCTGATCTCCCACTTGAAGTTGTAAAGATTCTCCTGCCTCAGCCTCCAGAGTACTGGGATGACAGGTGTGTACCATCAAGCCTGGCTGGGCCAGCCTTGAGGAGGGAGCGCAAAGCCATCACAAGACACACCGGGGTGGCTTTTCTCGCAGACCTACTCCAACATGGACCCCGAGCCTACAGCTACCTGCCACTGACACAGTTAGAAGTGCCAGGCTCCCCAGTGTCTAAGTTCTCCATCAGGCCAGGGACTTACGAGCCCCCAGACCACTCACCCCCCGGCCCGGAAAGGGATCAAACTAAGCTAGGAAGGTACTTGGAGCATCGGGGACCTGGCTGTCTCTCACCTGAGTTCATATCTTTGTAGTCAGCCCCAAAATGCCTCCACTGGAAGCCATAGACGGGGCCCAGGTCCCCTTCCTGGCGGCTAGAAAACCCCAGGCTGTCCAGGAAGTCCCGGGACCCGTTGGCGTCCCAGATCTTCACTCCCCTGGATGACAGTTCTTTGGCGTTTGTAGATCCCTGGAAGAAACGGGAGTGAGTGGGAACTGAGTCAAATTTTTTCCTTTTGCCATCCTGAGCTTTGAACCTAGGGCCTTTGCACTATGCTATATCCCAGCCCTTTTTATTTTAAGACAGGCTCTTAATTGCCTAGGCTAGCCTTGAACTTAGGATCCTCCTGCCTCAGCCTCCTAGAGTTCTGGAATTACAGGCATGCACCACCACAACCAACTGAATTGAGCCCTTTGGGTCAAGGTCAACGTCTCCTAGAGCCTCTGCTAACTTGGGCCCCTGACCCAATTGACACGCTGGAGCATGGGGATCTGACCCTGTCCCTGTGGAATCTGTCCTGTCTTTGAGCAGACTAGTTCTGGCCCAAACTTCTAGGGCCCTAGAGGACCACCCGAACCCTTCTTTGGAATCACCTCTCAAATCCACTGTTCTATTCCCTTCAGCTAGATGTTTGAAACACCGCCAAATCCTTCAAATATTTCCACCTCACCTGGCAGTTTTGAGGGCTTTTCTTTTCTTTTAGTCTTTTTTTTTTTTTTTTTTTTGAGACAGGGTCTCACTATGTAAATCGGAGTGGCCTTGAACTCACCTATAGTCCAGCCTGGCCTCAAACTCATGGATACTTCTGCCTCAGCCTTCAGGGTGTTGGGATTACAGATGTGCACCACCATGCCCGGCTTTTTTTTTTTTTTTTGAAAGAAAGTCTCCCTATGTAGTCCAGGCTGGCCTTGAATGTGTAGCAGTCTTCTTACTTCAGCGTGGGTGCTGGGATTACGGGAGTGCACCACTATGCCCAGGTCAGTTTTACATTTCTTAAACATGTACTATGTCTAAGTGTGCTACTCCAAAACGAATTTCCTGCCTCACATGCAATCCGTGCACATACCTGGCACACAGGATAATTTATGGACCAGAGCCAATCAGCATTTGCTTTCCTGACAAATGGTACCCGTCACACTGGGGTAAATGTGGACACTATTTCGCTCTTCTACGTGCCATGATGAAGTTCCACTTCCCCACAATCTGCATTTCCAGTTGTGTTTCCCTTCCACATCATCCTGGCAGGTCTGGCCGTGACATTCCGACCCGACCCAGACAGGCATCTAGGGCAAGGACGGACCCCTCTGCCCGTGAGGCCACTGGGTACGAGGTGTGAGCAATAACCGGCAAGGCTCGCCACGTACACCTAGGCCTCGCCTGGTCCTCCTGCACCCCTCACCTGCTGCCCTCTGCCCCACCTCCTCTGTGAAGCAGCACAGCCCTGGTGTCTGTCACGTGCAGGGACAGGCAACGCCAGCCAAAGGCCTGGGCTGGGCAGACACCGGCTACTGCCCGACTCCGCCTCCCCACCGGTCCCCGGCTGCTGGGGAGGTGGGCACCTGCCGCTCCTGCTTCTGGTCACCTGCTAAGACCTTCTGGGAACCTGAACTCAAGCTGAAGTTAAAACAGGGAAGTGTTTTATTCCTAAGTATCTCACTTCCTCCTTTCTACTGTGTCTGCCCGAATTTTTCTTTCTTTTTTTTTTTTTTGCCCGAATTTTTCACTTCCAACAAGTCATTCCTGAGTCTTTTGCATTCTGCTTTAAAACCCCAATTTCAGCTGGGTGTGGTGGTGTAATCCCAGCACTCGGGAGGCTGAAGCAGGAAGATCGTTGCGAGTTCAAGATCAGCCTGGGCTACAAAGTGAGCTCAAGGCCAGCATGAATTGCATTGTGAGACCCCCCCCCAAAAAAAAGCCCAATTTCCATCCACCTAGACTGCACTCTGATGATGCCCCCACTTCTGGTTGAACTTGGGCAAAGGCCCTGCGTTCACTCCCCAGCACCACCAAAATAATCAAATAAAAAGAATGTCTTCTTCTGAAATTCTTGGAGAAGATCTCAGGCCAGGCACTGCATGCCAGTTGAGAGACCAACATAAAATACCCCCGAACACAGTGCTGGGGAAGAGGGAAGCTGCAAATTCCACCCTTTCTAAAATGGGGTCACAGCTCTTGGGTCTGGTTTGAGCCACTCCAAATGCTCTCACTTCTATCTCACATGGCCCAGGACACAGCCTGTGTCTTTGGGCACCCTCGGCCAGCACTGCACAGACCCTGTGGTCCAGGACCAGGACACGGAGCTGGCGAAGTCTTCCCACGTGGCGCTTCCAGAACATTGCATTTATTTGTCTGCCTTTCCCCTCCTCGTGGCGAAGAGCAAGGCTAGCACTACACACTGGATATTTCCCTGTGGAGAAAGACACTGGGCCAGCGGGAGAGCCAGTATGACTGAGGCAGGACATGAGTTTGAGATCAGCCTTGCTGAGCGGTGTCAAAGGAAGTTGGGGAAGCAGACTTTAGAAACGGGAATGTCCCAGTGTGCCCAGAGGTTGGGAAGGAGGCCAGGGTGAGTGAGGTGGAGGAAAAACCAGTAAGGCCAGAGCCAGAAAAGGAGCCCCAGGAAAACCTTGGCCCTTGAGTGAAACTGGAGCCGCTAAGGGCTTTAGGCTGAGCTGTGACAGGATCTGACTTCCATGTGTGTGTATGTGTGTGGTCTTGGCCTTTACACTGAGCTACAGACCCAACCTTTTTTTTAATTCTTTAAGACAAGGTCTCGTTAAACTACCCAGGCTGGGCTCCAACTTGCAGTTCTCCTGCCTCAGCCTCCCAGCTTTGCCCTGCCGTTTTATTTTATTTTATTTTATTTTATTTTTGGTTTTTCTGCGGTACTGGGAACCGAACTCACGACCTTGTGCTTGCCAGGCAGGCGCTTTGCCGCTGAGCTAAATCCCCAGCCCCTGCCCTGCCATTTTAAAGGCTCACAATGGGTTGTGCTACGAAAGAACCCTCAATTTCTGATGGCAGCTGCTTCTTTACCTTGATAAACCACAGCAGCTCCTCCAGAACACCCTTCCAGAACACTCGCTTGGTCGTCAGCAGAGGAAATTCATCTGAAAAACAGTTTGCCAAACAGTGAGAAGACAGAACTTCCGCCTCCTTTGTGGAGGAAAACCGCTGTGGGCTGACTCAGGGCCACCCAAGAGGAGAGCAAACTCCTGTCCCGAGTCTGGGGCCAGGGTGGGGCTCTGGGCCTGGAAGGCTGGCCAGCCCTCTCGAGCCCAGTGACTCCTGGAGGTCGGCGCTACCACCTGCCACCCAGCCAATGTGACGTCCGTCCCAGGGTGGGACAACAGCACCCAAACTGTAGCCCTGGACAAAGCCCAAGTGTTCCTGCAACTAATTCCACCACCACCCTGCCAGAGAAACCTTCCTCTTCAGTACAGAGAATAGATCCACACTGCAACACTAACACATAGCTGGTGACAAATGCGTGTAACGCAAACTGACCTATTACTACAGTCTATCACAAACACCAACTGTTTAAGCGCGCCACAAGCGGGATCCTGTTTAATTAATCCAGGTCATGACCCACCCAGAGGGACCTCCACGTTCTTCATCTTACAGGCGCGGGAGGCAATACAGATGTTTACACAGCTTAACTGACAGAAGGGGCAGGAGCAAGAAGCAACAGAGAATAAATGTGGAAAAGCTTATCTCTAAACGCAGCACCAAGGGAGTCCACATTATTGGCTGTATACAAGGTATGACTAGAAAAAAAAATACAGTGAATGTTTAAATTTTTTAAAAAATTTATTATAGGGGGCTGGGGATTTAGCTCAGCGGCAAAAGCGCCTGCCTGGCAAGCGCAAGGTCTTGAGTTCAGTTCCCAGTACCGGAGAAAAACCAAAAAAATAAAAAATAAAAAAAAATAAAAAATAAAAAATTTATTATAGTAAAAGACAGGAGCTGGGCATGGTGGCGCACGCCTATAATCCCAGCACTCGGGAGGCTGAGGCAGAAGGATCGTTGGGAGTTCAAGGCCGGCCTAGGCTACAAAGTGAGCTCAAGGCCAGCCTGGACTGCACAGCCAGACCCTGTCTCAAAAAGACAAAAAAAAAAAAGACATTGCCAGGAATCCACCTGAAAATCCTCCCTATCATTTGGAACACCTCCTCCCGCAGTTCTTGCCACTTTCGGAAGGCATTCTGGAAGTCCTCTTTCTTGTGTTCAGCCACATTGTGGCGGCTGCCTCTATGTCCTGACTGTGTTTACCTTTTGTGGTCTTTTTGACTTGGAAGAGCCAGAAGACCCACGATGGCAGATCTGGTGAATGAGTACACACTGCAATGTTTTCATGAGCCTGCTTTTCCATTGGGTGAAACAGGACAGCAGCACTCACCGTACTTTTGATCCCATTCCCGACAGACACTCTGGAAAGAGGACTTCCGGGCTGGGGATTTAGCTCAGCAGCACAGCACCTGCCTGGCAAGCGCAAGGTCGTGAGTTCAATTCCCGGTACCGAAAAAAAAACAAAAACAACAACAAGAAAAAAAAAATCAAAAGAAAGAGGACTCCAGAACTGCTTCAGAAAGCAGCAAGGATGGCACGCGTGTCTGAAGCGAGGGGCAGGGTTCTGAGGGAATTCATGGCAATGTGCCCGTCACTGTAAGAAAAAAAAAAAAATTTAAATATTCACCGTATATTCTGATCATTCCTTGGAGCTGATGAGAAGAGATGTTTCATCAGCTACTGCACTAACTCCTCCGGCTGTGACACAGATGCCCAAGGTCTATGCAGGGAGGGCGGATTAAAAGTCAGTTCGTGCTTCTTCATATCGGCTCTTCCCAGATCGCCAGGAAGGGGTCCCGGTGAAGCTTCCAATCTCTGAACAGGGGCGCCGGGGAGGGTCCCCCAACCACAGTAAGTCCGCTTCACATCGTGGATCCCCTCAAACCCTGCCCCACACTTGGGTCGAGGTCGCTCCTCGCCCATCGTGGAAAGGACCTTGTTACCCAGGCTCACCGCCTTGCAGGACCCGCCCCGCAAAAGGAAACCAGCAGGCGCTCAACCCCTGCCCTCCCTGCAGCCTGACCCTAACGGCCCGCGGGACCCCGCTTCCGGGGGCCCAAACAGCGGCACAGAAAGAGGGAGGAGGAGCAAGGGCTCGGGGCGGCGGGACGCCTCCCGGAGCCCCAAGTTCCCGCGCAGGCGAGCGTGCGGCCCGCTTCCCCCTCCCCGCCCACGTTACTTTCGCTCCGCCTTTGAAACCTCGCCGAAGCGGGGCGGCCCGGACGGGGGCGCGGCCGCGCCGGGGCCG